TGATGCAAGTGATGCGTAAGTTTGGTTTCGGGGAGAAGCGGATTGACATGATGTGGCGGTTTTCAGTGATTATTAATGGGACACCGAAGGGGCTCTTTACATCTTCCAGGGGTCTACGCCAAGGGGACCCTATATCACCAGTCTTGTTTATCCTGGGGCCGGAGGTCTTATCTCGGTCACTGAATGCACTGCTGGTAGATAGGGGGTTTGTCCCGTTCAAAGTTCCCAGAAGTTGCCCTAACATTTCTCACCTCGCTTATGCGGATGATGTGATGATTTTCAGTAGCGGGTTGAAGAGGTCCTTAAAGATGGTCTTGCGCGCTGTGGAAGCCTACTGCAACGTGTCGGGGTAGCAGGTGAACCTCCAGAAGAGTTGCTTCCTAGTGCATCGGAGGCTCAACGCGGTTAGGAAGCGTACCATCGCCCAGATTACGGGTTTCAAAGAGCAGTCTTTCCCCATTAAATGTCTTGGCTACCCGCTCTATGTTAGAAGGGGCAAGTCGATCTACCTCTCAGTGGTTGCGGAGTCGGTATCCAAGTGGGTATTGTCGTGGAATAGTAAGTTGTTATCTTATGGTGGGAATCTGACTCTTATCAAGAGTGTGCTTGCATCTATACTAGTTCATATTTTGGCTGCCACGACTCCCACGAAGGGTTTCTTTCGAAGTCTGGAAAAAATCTTCGGGGGATTCCTATGGGATAGTTTTGACTATGGTTTACGAATTCATTGGATAAAATAGAGTTCCATTTGTAGGCCGGTGGAGGAGGCTGGTGTAGGGATACGGGCAATACAAGCGGTCTATGACGCTTTCCCTATGAAATTACGGTGGTCGTTCCGCCAAAATGTGTCCTTATGGGCACGTTTTATGCGGGAAAAATATTTGTGGGAACGGTCATCCTTGTGAAGTTGAACAAGTTAGGGGGCAATCCCACATAGGGCGAAGGATGGTGATGGTCAAAAACCAAACGGAACAGCACATTAGATGGGTTTTGGGGAATGAGGAAGTGGATTTTTGACATGAAAATTGGATGGGACCGGGGCCAGTATGCGATAAAGTGGAGAATTTTAGGGTACATGCTATGGCACACTTGACTGGTGGAACGTACACCTGTTACAGCTGTGGTTGCCTCGGTTCATTGTGTCAGACATCTTACGTATTCCTCCTCTTGTGTCCCGACGGCCGGATCATATGCTGTGGGCCTTGAGCTCCTCTGGCTCATTTACAGTTTCTTCGGCGTATCAGGTGGTAAGCCAACCTGCACCTAGGTCAATATTTTTCGCAAATATATGGCATCCGTTGATTCCTGCGAATGTGTCTTTCTTCATGTTACGTTTGCTGGGGTCCAGGCTTCCAGTCATGGAGATTCTCCACCGCTTTCAGGTACACGGCCCATCTCGCTGTTGGTGCTGTAAGGAGCCAGGGGCGGAGTGCCTAGACCATATTTTCTGCACTGGAGAGATCTCTTCACAGGTTTGGCAGTCGTTTGAAGGGAGTGACGAAAGCCTCGGTCCAGCTTTTACAGTACGACATGTGCTAGCTACATGGTGGTTGAGGGCCACATCGAAGGCTGCTTTGAAGACAATATATCGAATTTTACCTTGTCTAGTGTGTTGGCACCTCTGGAGGGCTAGGAACACGATGCTTTTCGATGGCAAACGGGTGACAGCGGTTGGCATTCACTTGTATATACTCGGGGAGCTATGAGAAATATTGTGTGGGCGGTTTCCCAATCTTGCCACTGGTGGTTTATCTTGGCATTCTCTTCTTGATTTAGTGGTCAAGATGGCCTTTCCGGTAGGATTTCCTAGCACAAATGGAGCAGGCCGCAGCTTATGATCCCTATATTGAACGTTGATGGTTGCTATCAGGACAATTCGGGAAGAGCAGGCGGGGGTGGTATTTTAAGGGACCTAGAAGGGCATTTTATTGTTGCCTTTGCAAAGGTGTTTGATGTAGCTAAGAGTTTGCAAGCAGATCTGAAGGCAGTACTTGAGGGGGTGAGGCTTTGTGTACAACGCGGATTTACGGAGGTGCACGTGAGTCAGACTCTTTGCTACTGGTTCGAATGTTCCACGCCGAGGCCGGGATACCTTGGTGGTTAATGCGCGATTTTGAGGAGCTCTTAGCTTTACGGCATCATGTGCGGGTCATGACGCATTGTCTTCGAGAGGCAAACAGGTCTGCGGTTGGTCTGGCTACGGTGGGTATTAACTGAGGCAGCAATTGGGTTTTTGAGTTGTGGGGGCAGCTACCCCTAGAGGTTCGAAAAGAGATCTCTCTGGATCGGCTAGGTATCCCGTCTAGTAGGATTGACTGGTGCTCGTCAGGAGTAGTGTAGTGACTCATGGAGGTACGGTTTAGGCCCCCTCCTTGTATCCCATCTTTTCAGTATGAGCAATAAAATCAATCTTTGCTTTAAAAAAAAATTATTTTGTTGCTAAATTGTAGATTAATTATATACATAACTTGCGGCGTACATTATTAGTTAAACATACTTTTTTTTCATATTGTAATTAGTAAAATTTCATATATTAACTTTGCCCCTACTGAATTTCTTTTCTAGCTCAACACCTGAGTGTAGCATATTAGATTCAGATCAGAAAAACACTTATGTGCCAAATGCACTGCACTATCGATGAAGAACCATTTAGGATTAAATCTTAACTAAGCAACAACTGCAGTTATGGTGCATACCAAGGGTACTGCCTTTTCTTACTCGTAGATCCTTTTCATTGTCTAATAATAGTTTTGGCAAAATTTCAAATTGATAGATACATTTGCCGACAAATCGCTTATGGTGTATACCAATGGTACTGCAACTGATTCTATTTAATCAGTCCTAGTATTTTACCCGCTCACATTGAAGTATAAGTTTAAAATTTGGCCAAAATTCTATATCAAGTGTATCAATATGCAAACCTACACAAAACATGTTCTTGGACAATAGATCTAAAGATAGTGAATAATGTTCGCATTAATGAGATTTAAAATTCATGTCTAAATAAATATATTAAACAAAAAAAAAACTATTTTAAACAAGTCAAAAAGATTTCTATTAAACTATTATTATGGCAAGTATGCGGAAAGACACATTATATACATTAGGGTATGATAGTAAAAGTTACAATTGAAAGAAATATGTTCACCAATAGTATATGAAACACGACAATTTCTTAAGAGCTAAAAGTAAGTGTTTTGTAGGGTTAAAAGTCCATGAGATGTGAGAAATAAGTGTTGAAATGGGCAATATCAGTATTTCCTAACAGTGAAATGCTGATTTGATAACTAGCAATTGGTATTCTGCAACATCGAATTCGGGGCTATAGTAAGACCTTTCAAATGTTACTTTCTGGAAAATAATATCTTGCTCATATGAATAAACAAATTTCAAAATTCTATATGACAATGTAGCAACACATTGGAAACACTTCTTAAAATAGTTATAGGTTTTTCTTTTTAATAAACAATGCCTTAGAAACATGTGTAATAATTTGAAATTGAGAATTATAAAATGTCAATTGCTGTAATACAAAATTATTCTTACCTTGAAATTTCACACCATATCTTACTAATAAGTGTGAAAAGTATTTATGCATTAAAAAGCATAATATATTTTTGACCATTTATTTTTACAGGCACAACATAATAGATATTCACCTGTTGATATAATATAACAGATATTGGCTTTTAACATAAAAAATCTTCTTGTTAGTGTTACGCGACAAATTAGACATGCATCTCATCTACTTCCAAATATCAATTTATCAAATTTGACAGATCAAACAAGTATAACTACACATTAACAAAATATATAAATTTGGCATATCGTAGTTCTTTCCTAAAAATTTCCCGCCAATATATTATATTGTAGCATGATTGAGCTTTCGTAAAAATTTCCCGCCAATATTTAATAGCAAGCATATATGTTATGAACGAGTTCGTTAAGATTTTAGATAAGGTGGACTAAGAACCAATAAAAATTTTCAAACTTCTTGATCTCTATTATTTAAAAGCTTAATTGATCATCTAATATGTTTTGATAATTGTTCAGTTTACTTATAATATAACTAAAAACAACTTAATCTTAAGGCATACAGTTACATGAAAAATTAGATATACATCTCATGTATTTTTTATATATCAATTTATCATATCCGACAAATGATCAGACACATGTATAATAATACAATAATGAACAAGATTCAAAATTTTAACTACATCGTAGAAAGATTATGCTTTCCTAAAAGTTTGCTGCCAATATTTATTAGAAAGTATATACACACGGAGAAGTTCATTAAAATTTTAAATATGGTGGACCCAAGAATTTAACGCTAATAAGATTTCTTGGATTGATCGGCGTTGTTAGCAAAATACGACAAGAGTTTGTTACGATTTATAGTGATCGCATTCCTCATATGTAAAAAAAATTATTACACAATTTCTCAAACTACTTAACCTCTTTTAGTTAACAACTTAATTGATCATTCAATATATTTTTATAATTGTTGCATTTACTGAATATCTTTTTACAATACACTTACAATCCAAACAAGAGGAAAATGATAGTAATACAAGATGTGATGAAAAGTTGCTTTTCCTAATTTCCTTATTTGGAAAACGTAAAAATATAGTAGAATTCAGAAAATTTAAAAAATTAGGAAAAGAGTTTTGGTATTAATTTATATACTATGTATGTATATAGTGTGCATCTTATGAGATATTAGACCCATACCAAACGAACCATTCCCCACCCCAAATGCCAACCTAGCTAGGTTTGCCTTATCACTCTTTTTCCTTTGCTATATATATAAATATATATATATATATATATGTATAGTCATTAGTCACCAGTGCACGCACACACCATTCATCCATTCAAATCACCATCCTTCATTTCCCCATCCCTTGTCTCAAACACCAGCCTTAGATTGAAAAAAGAAAAGGGAATCCACGGGAAAGTGTGTAAACAAGTCCAAGGGGAAAGCAGAGGCACCAAAAATGGTGGTGAACCATGCTCAAACCCCGCTTGGTGTACGTACGAGGTCCATGACTCTGGAACTCAAGCGTTTACAGAAGTTACCTGCTTCACCATCAGCTGCATCTGCAGCCATTGGAGACGGTGGATCCTATCTGCAACTGAGGAGCCGTAGGGTGGAAAGGCTCTCACCATTTGCTGCTAAAGCAAAAACCCGAAAGATTCTCAAGGGTTCGACTTCAAAGAGCCAGGGAACCGGGCCAGCCAGTGTGAATCAAGAAAGTGAGAAAGACAAGGGGAAGGGTCCAATGCTGGAGGAGAATGAAAATGAGGAGAAAAACAATAACCCTGATGATTTGAAGGTTATGGAGTCCTCCTGGGGAGAGAATAACTTGGAGGCTGAAAGTGCTGAGAGGTGGGTTTATTTCTGTTTTGTTGACTTTTGATGACTTTATATATATTGAAATTTTGAGGTGGGTTTTCATTGTTTTGCATATTGAAAATTTTTTTTTTTTTTAAAATGGAATTTATGTTTTTGGTGCTAATGTTGAATTTTAAGAAGTTGACACTGAAATTTATTTGGTTTCAACAAAAATGTTTTGCAATTTTTAAATTTCAATCTTTACAAGAAATAGTTTTTTTTTTTTGTCAAAGTGATAGGTTGCAATTCTATCATTTATTTTATTATTAATTTTCCCTATTATCTGACCTAATGTGGAGTAATTGTTAGATTCTACTCACTTTTGATATTTTACATTTATTTCAGGCAGTAGAACGAAAATATGATAACAAGTGCCAATTTAACAAGAAAAGAGTCCAAGTAATAGAGCTTATCCCAGGGGCATTTTTGGAAAAGGAACACTGGAACCCAATTTGGTAATTACCGCAAAGGCTAGGACGGCTGGAGGGTTTTCTTCTTGCTGGTGGGCCGCCGCAGAGAAGGGTCACTTTTGGATTGCTTTTGTTGACTTTTCTCTTGTGGGCTTTTGGCTTAATTTTCAATTCTCGTATGTAAAAAGAGGGAATGAGCACTACTTTAGGCATTCGTTGCTTTACACTTTGACTTCCGTTTTCCGTCTTTTAGTAGTTGCTCCTGCGCAAGTCACGAGCACTGCTTGGATGGAGGAGCTTTTGACTTTTCCTTTCATCTGGAGTTGTTACTTTTCTTTTCTTTTCGATAGGAGTAAACAAGGGATGAATTAATCCCTTTGTCTAGTCAAGGAACAACGGATGCTTTGGGTCATCTAAAATTGTGAGATCGATTTAATTTTATTTGTTTCTCTTATTTATTGGTATTTGCATATTCCCTGATTGCAGTGCTTATGGTTGTTTAATTAATTGATTGTCTTGGATCCGGATAATTAGTTAATTTAATAATCTATTGTCAATTGAGGCGTTAAATCCGTAATTGTTTAATTGTCTCAAAATAGTGACGACTGGTATGATTAGATTTGTGTCAGGGGAGTACGCGGGCTAATCTAAAATAACCCTGGTAGTGCGTTATTTGGTTAGAATAGGGCTTCTCTAATACGTAAGGCAATTGGGGAATTAAATTCTACGGGCGTACCTAGGATTATTTCTCAATTAGAGCAGTGATTAACGGGCGTACCTTGATCACCGACACAGTAAGGAGGGGTTGACTGTCATCGCTTGTTTGGCAGTTATAACCTATTTATTAGTAAATAATTGGAATTGCCTTTGCTTATCGATGATCAATTAGGTGAACCATTGCTGAAGTTATTTCTTGGCTAGATCCTTAATTATCACTTGTTTGATTTTAGTAATTTGTTATTTAATTTTTAGTAGTTTCTTAGATTTTATTTGAACTTCTTTTATTGTCACCTTCTGCATAAAAACACCCACTTGTCACTGTGAATTTGAAAAGAAACAATTACTCCCAGTCCCTGTAGATTCGACCCTACTCACCACTATCTACAGAAATTAACTTTAGCTGAGCAGGTTTTTATTATTGCACAGGCTGACAACTTGTCAATTTTTGGCGCCGTTGCCGGGGACTGGTGTCAGATTAATTTGTTTCTTTTTGAGTTCACCTTGTTCTCATTTTTAATTTATTTTTCTCTTATTTTTTTTTATAGTTTATGGCTGCTAACATTCCATATTTTGATGATAGACTGGACTTTGTTCCTGAATGGGGTTATGAGACTCATGTTTTTCCTAATGATCAATGGGCTGTTGCAAATTGTGGGACTTATTTTGACTCAGGTTATTCAACTGACACATGCCCCGTATTTCAAGATAATCTAAGTTCTCCACTTGATACTTTTGGAGATTTTTCACCCCAATATCAAACGCAGTATGACCCTTATTCAAACGGGTATGATCAAGAATGGTGGGATAATTCCAATTTTGATTATGCAACCGGGCCAATGGATTTTCAACAGCAAGAGTCTCAGCAATCATCCTCCGTGTCAGGTATGTCTCTTGAAAAAATGATGGAATTACTAATTGCTAATACAAATCGATTTCATCAGGAGACACAAGCGAGCCTAGATCGATTTCATCAGAAGAGACAAGCGAGCCTTCGCGACCTGGCAGATCAACTGCGTCAATTGACATCCAGGATAGAGCGATTAGCTCCTCAAATGGAAGAATTGCCCGCACAAACCAATATCAATCTTGAGGAAGATGAGAGTGCAATTGTCCGGCCAAATGACATGGAACTGCAAGAGTTTCAAGAAAACGGATTTAAAGATGCAGTTGAAAGGGAAGCTGAAGTGCAAGAAATGAGACTCCAAGATCAACTCGTTCAAGTGAATGAATCCAGTGAACAATCTCCAAATGCGGTGACATTTTCTCCACTCCTTAATCAATATTTTCCTGACTCCTATTCTTCAATTTCTGTTACTGAAATTGATTTTATTATACCAGAAAATTTGAAATTTCATGACAGGAATAAGTTAAGAGTGGCAATGGAAAAATATCTTGAACCGAAGAATGCGTGTGATGGAGGAGTGAGTGGAGAATGCAGATCATTGTTGCCTTGTTTGGCGCCATTCACTAGTCCATGGAAGCTCGTAGCTCGTATGCTCAAGGATTATTCTATTTACGAGGGTTATCAGGACTATATAGAGGATGAAGCAGTAAGACGAGTCACAAGATTTTATCCTCCATGAGCAAAACATGATAATGTCTAGCCAAAGACATTAAAGAAAGGCGCTCCTTGGGAGGTAACCCAATTGTTCCTTTTAATTGTTTGTTCATTTTCGTGTGGTAGTTTAGATGTGCTCTCCTTGAATTCGACTAATTTTGGGTTTCAATTTTCGTTTTTGCTGATTTATAGGTGCCTTTTAGTCATGACGCGCCCGCGTGGTGACGTGCATGAAGCTCACGATCAGAAACTTCTGCGAGCTCTCTTGCCCTCATGACGCGCCCGCGTGGTGATGTGCAGGAAGCTCACGACCAGAAACTTCTGGGAGCTCTCTTGCTCTCTGGACGTGCCCGCGTCACGTTCGCAGGAAAGGTAAGTATTCAAAGAAACTCAAGAACGATTATTGATTTCCTGTTAATCACTACTTTTGAATTTCAAAAATAAATTTTGTCAATAATAAAAAAAAAAAAAGAGATGATATATGAAAAAATTTTTCCACCAAAAAAAAAAAAAAAAAAAGGGGAGTCTTTCCCTAAAAAAAAAAAATCTAAAATGAAAAAAAAATGAAAAAGCAAAAAAAATTTTTTCCCCTTTTTCACCGTAGCTCAGTTTTCCCAAAAAACAAAAAAAAAAAAATTCCTTCTTTTTCTTTTCTTTCTTTCTTCTTTCTTTCCTCTCCCCTGTTCTCCTCTGTGTCGGCCGAAGCTCCCTCGCTCGCCACACGCCACGACTGTCGCCACCTGCCGACGCTGCCTCCTTCGCCCCTCGCTCTCTCCACCATCAGCTCGACCTCACTCCAGCGCCGCCACCACCTATCCGCCACCCTTCCTCACGCGACGCAGGCTGCCAGACGCCGCTGCTCGCTCTCGCCGCTCGCTGCTGCGCCGCCGACGCGAGCGCCGCCCCTCTGCTCTCTCTCCACTTGGCGAACCAGCCACCACCAGCTCTTTCTCTCCAGCCGCGCTGCTCCTAGCTCACAACCACCGCCCGCCGCGGCTATTTTCTTCTACCTCTGCCCAGTCCACAAGTGCTCCACTTTCAGCTCCAGCTCGGTCTCCACAGTCGCCGCGCGCCACCGCTGCCACCCGAAGCTCGCGACACAGCAACCCACGGCTGAGCCCACATCTCCTCTGTCCGCCTCTCTCTGCTCACGGCCGCACGCCCCACTCAGCCACGTAGCCGCGGGTCACCAGCTCTCTTACCACCACAGCTCCAGTCCGCGACCAAGTCGCAGCGTCGCCTGCCTTTCTCCTTGCCACACTATCGCTCCAGGTAGTCATCAAGATGGAGGTATTCCTTTAACTCCTGTTCTTTAACGTGTCCAGCAACCTTTGTTGGTAATTTTGCAATTTCAAGTGCATAGGGTAATTTTGGAGTTGATTGAGATTTGTTTTGCTGCTTTAGTTTTTGCATAAGTGAAGTGAATTGCTGGACTACTATGAGCATCCACTGAGCGCTGCTTCACCTGGGTTTTTGTTGAAATTTTTGCTGATTCGGTTGGCTAGTTGAGATTTTCCATTTACTAGAGTTTATTCCCAGTGGTTCTGGTGGGAATATGTTAAATTGAATCTGTTACCTCTAATTGGTTGGCTGAGTTCTTATGGACAAATTTCTAAGTTGTCGTAGTTGCATTTGCTGGTTTTGACTTATGACATTGCCTGGCCAAATGGAGCCATCTGTTAAGATTTTGGGTGGGCCTACATACTGCAATTGTATATTGATATTTGGGTGATCTGGTTCTGCTGCTGCCTGTTGATTTGGAAAACCTGGTTGCTTGATTTACTTGTTGAGGGTGGTAGAATTTCGTTTAATTGTTGGGGACATCCCGGTGATTGGTTAATATTGGTTAAAACCCATTCAAAAGTGTTGGAGTTTTCATTACTTTGGGTCAGCCGTTAGAATTATTTCGTCAACTCTGTGGGTGTTTTGACTCCACTAGATTAATTCTACTCTATTGGCTGACTGCTTGGAAGCTAGGGGTTTGAGATTTAGTTGTTAATGTCAGAGTTTTCCACTACTATTGCTTGACCTGTTCACTTCTTGAGGCTCACTACTGGGGGCATTTGTTGAAATTTTAGAATGCATTTGTTGAGAGTGTGGATGGCACAAGTTTGCTTGTTGACTGACTGAATTGGGTTGTCCTTGTGCTTATTGACGTGACTTTTCTAGTTCCCAGTTATTGATAATAGTTTCTGGTTGTTGATTTTGGAGTGCAATTGTTGCTTTATTGACCATATTTGGACTTGGGTGGCCCGTGTTTGCTTTTAATTGTTGAGTTGGGGAACACCAGTGACTATGAATGTGCATTTGTGGTTGCTATCTTTGTTGGATATTCTGTCTTTTGTTGTTTGGGGTGATAATTGGCGTCAATGGTGAGTGGCGCCACTTACAAGCACAGGTTCACAACGTAGATGAGCGAATGATGAACATCACCCGTCAAGTGGCAAGGATGTTTCAGAACTCGGCTTCCCTCCACTGTTCCCTCCTATCCCTTAGCTGTTCAACAGGGAAGTTTCATTGTTCTCTTCGCTTTCATTACTTTATTCCCTCCATTGAGGACAATGTAGGATTTAGGTGTGAGGGGAGCAGTTATGGTACTAGTGTCTTTCGTTCATTTTTTTTTTTTTAGTGATTAGCACGTATGGGATGCCAAGTTTGATGTTGGATTATTGCCTCTATTTCTACTTTTGCCAAGTTTTAATAATAAAAGGGTATCAAGTTCATGTGGTTGAATTCAAAAACATCTCTTTGGTGAATATCGATGATTGTTTTACTCTTATAATTTTTGGTTAACATTCCTAGGCAGAGGGAATGATTATTGACATTTTCATGTGAGTTGGTTCGGTTATTAACTTTAGTTCTCCATATTTAAAAATGAGACTAGCAGCTGCAAAGTTCCTTTTGATTTTTTGTGTTATTTTGAATTTTTGGTATTATTTGGCTATGAATAAGAGTTGACTGTACTCCGCTAGTATTTACTACCCAGTAACCGGGGATCTTCACCAAAAGTGTCGATTCTCGCGTCAAAAAGTAGTAATTGCTATGAGTGCGTGGTCACGTGGCGATAGAAGCTGAGTAACCGGGCTCCTTCATCTAGCCAATGTTGGAGTTCGCGTCAAAAGGCGCAAATGGCTATCGACTAAGTCTTTTGTTACTATTGAAAAGAAAAAAAATCAAAAAAAAAAATGAAAAGAGAAAAAAAAAGTAGAAAAAAATGTGAAAAAAAAAAGTGAAGGTTGTGTTAGTGTGTAATAAAAGTCAGCTTGCCGAATTATGGATTTAATGTTGAGATTTTGGTTAATAGTTGAACCATTTGCTGATAAATGTTGTACATTATTCCTTTTTCTTAGATTCGTTAACCTGAAATTGGAAGAGTTTATGGTTTAGAAGCTAACCAGGAGTGATGTTTCTCGGACTTGACCATTGATGCTTGATTATTATTTTTCTTGGTATCTTGGCAATTTGGTGGATAGAGCAGTGGCCATTATCAAATTTTGGTGTTCGTTTACTACTCTTATGCTTGAGGACAAGCATGGTTTAGGTGTGGGGGGAATTGATAGGTTGCAATTCTATCATTTATTTTATTATTAATTTTCCCTATTATCTAACCTAATGTGGAGTAATTGTTAGATTCTACTCACTTTTGATATTTTACATTTATTTCAGGCAGTAGAACGAAAATATGATAACAAGTGCCAATTTAACAAGAAAAGAGTCCAAGTAATAGAGCTTATCCCAGGGGCATTTTTGGAAAAGGAACACTGGAACCCAATTTGGTAATTACCGCAAAGGCTAGGACGGCTGGAGGGTTTTCTTCTTGCTGGTGGGCCGCCGCAGAGAAGGGTCACTTTTGGATTGCTTTTGTTGACTTTTCTCTTGTGGGCTTTTGGCTTAATTTTCAATTCTCGTATGTAAAAAGAGGGAATTATAACTACTTTAGGCATTCGTTGCTTTACACTTTGACTTGGCCGTTTTCCGTCTTTTAGTAGTTGCTCCTGCGCAAGTCAGGAGCACTGCTTGGATGGAGGAGCTTTTGACTTTTCCTTTCATCTGGAGTTGTTACTTTTCTTTTCTTTTCGATAGGAGTAAACAAGGGATGAACTAATCCCTTTGTCTAGTCAAGGAACAACGGATGCTTTGGGTCATCTAAAATTGTGAGATCGATTTAATTTTATTTGTTTCTCTTATTTATTGGTATTTGCATATTCCCTGATTGCAGTGCTTATGGTTGTTTAATTAATTGATTGTCTTGGATCCGGATAATTAGTTAATTTAATAATCTATTGTCAATTGAGGCGTTAAATCCGTAATTGTTTAATTGTCTCAAAATAGTGACGACTGGCATGATTAGATTTGTGTCAGGGGAGTACGCGGGCTAATCTAAAATAACCCTGGTAGTGCGTTATTTGGTTAGAATAGGGCTCCTCTAATACGTAAGGCAATTGGGGAATTAAATTCTACGGGCGTACCTAGGATTATTTCTCAATTAGAGCAGTGATTAACGGGCGTACCTTGATCACCGACACAGTAAGGAGGGGTTGACTGTCATCGCTTGTTTGGCAGTTATAACCTATTTATTAGTAAATAATTGGAATTGCCTTTGCTTATCGATGATCAATTAGGTGAACCATTGCTGAAGTTATTTCTTGGCTAGATCCTTAATTATCACTTGTTTGATTTTAGTAATTTGTTATTTAATTTTTAGTAGTTTCTTAGATTTTATTTGAACTTCTTTTATTGTCACCTTCTGCATAAAAACACCCACTTGTCACTGTGAATTTGAAAAGAAACAATTACTCCCAGTCCCTGTGGATTCGACCCTACTCACCACTATCTACAGAAATTAACTTTAGCTGAGCAGGTTTTTATTATTGCACAGGCTGACAACCTGTCACAAAGCCAAGAAATGACTTTTGATTACTTTACTAACCTTAACCCAGCAATAAAACCACAAAAGCCGGCAACTTTTACGGTTCCTGCAGGAGACTAATAAACTAACCCCAAATCCCCCCCCAACCCCGATGTGGGATATCAACCCATGCAGGGAAACCTGCTGCTAAGACCTAAGGAGACCCCAATTACCCTGGAAAGGCTGATGTCTTTTTTGTCAAAGCCAAGAAACGACTTTTGATTATTTTACTAACCTTAACCCAGCAGGAAACCACAAAAGTCGGCAACTTTTACGGTTCCTGCAGGAGACGCTAGTTGAATTTTTTTCTATGCTGTCACTAAAATGTGATTGAAAATGATAAAGTCAGAATTGGATTTTTTTTTTTGGTTTTTAAAGGAGGAATAGTTTTGGATTTTGATAGAATAAATTTTTTCTACGAAAATCTCTTTGTTTTATTAAAAATGCATTACTTTTGGGTGTTTCTTATTTGGTTCCTTGATTGTGTGCATTGGCATACATATGGAAACCCTGATTTGGTTTAGACCCTTCTATTGTTGCTTGAAGAATGAGGTATATTTTCAAAAATTGAATGTTTTCACCATTCAATATGGTTCTAAGGATTTTTGTAACTTTTTAGCATTTTGATGTTACTCTATGCACTTTATAAGATTCTTTAAATATTAGCAAAGAAATTAAAAAAAATCTACAGTTTTGTTGGAGTGTCATAGCCACATGATTGTTCGAATTTGTACACCTCAAAGTGTATTTTTTTTCTTGTGCTATCCTTAGGAAGTCTTTTCCACAAATTTTTGTTACAAACATTTGTCATGACTTCCAAGAATGGTCTCCTATATATGATTTTAGCAAAGATTTTTAGCTTTTCAATTTCATTCATTCGAGAATATCAAGATTCATTATTTTTTTTAAAAAATCATTCTTTTTTCAATTATTTTTCTCATTGAGTCCCTTGAATCCTATGAATCAAACTTGATGGACCTAATCGAGTTGATTCAATTTTATCTCAATTACAATGATTCAAGCCGTCAACTCGTTTTAATCGTTAATTGCACACGTTCATCATCTAGGTTGGGATCATTTTCTGACTTGTTTGGTTGATTGCTAACCAATTCAATTATTTGCTTCTTTACTTATTTGGGAAAATTCGAGTTATTCAAAATGTGCTTCTTAACTTGAGGATCCAAGTCTTAATAGTTTTCCTAAAGAGACACACCATTTACAAGACAAAATTTCTTTCCTTCAACGGGGTAGCAATTGTACTTATCTTGCAATTTTTGCCAATTTCTATTTGTCTGTTTATTATACATTGAGCTATTTGTGCCAAATAATTGTACTAACAGCTGTTCCATCCCACGTTACTCTATGCTTATAAGATTTGAAATTCTAATCCTCTTATGGCAATTTACTTATATCTAAGCATTTCTTATTTTAATTTATGGACCTAACGGATTTCGGATTCCTTCAATTTTCTTTTTAGGGCCACAAGGGAGACCACACCAGTTCATTTGATTAGGGATCCAAACGCTCTGGTTCTTCCCCCCTTTCCAAGCACCAGGCGTCGCTACACCCGCACCACAAGGGCCAATCCAAGGCAGTTCATTAACCCGGTAGAAGATTACCTGAACGCATTTTTTGGTGATCTTCAAGAGAGGCATAAAAACAAGTGCATTGAGAAGTATGCGTGAGGGTTTTATTTCCTAACATCCATTAATTTTCTTCTTCTCATGAATTTCCAGCTTATGGACAATTAGACAAAGACATTTTCTTGATGAATATTTATTTTCTGCAGGTACAACTTCGACTTCAACAACGAAGAGCCGCTGCCTGGCCGTTATGAGTGGGAGAAATTGATGCCTTAATTTGGTTTAGGAAAAGTGTTCCTAGGTGATGGAAATCCTTATATTTCCATTGCCGTGTCTTTTATGTACAAAATAAAGGACTTGTAGACTAATGATCTGTAACATGTTAAAGGAGATCTTGTGACTTATAGAACATAGAGCACAAGAAACTCCTTTGTATAACTGATCACTAGATAGCTCAGTTTCTTCAATTTGTGGATTGTGCATGGGAATTGCTATCTGAAATCTGTACCTTGTAGCTTTATCTTTCACGTGTAAATTACGTAAATCAATTTATGCCATTTTACTCATGGTCTTGGCCTATTATTAAACCGTGTTATATGTTAGTGTCTGTCTGCATCACAAAATTGCAATTAGAAAGGTAGAAATGTAGCTAGATATGCGCTAAAATTAGGGGAAATTAACCATCCAGAATGGTAAAATGAGTTGATAAGATTATGCTTATTTGATTAACTAGCTTAGTTGATCAAATTGTGCTTATTATCTGCTGTTTATGTTAGTATTGTCTAGACGCAAATTTCAGATATCATGACATGGATAAACTTTGGAGTTATAAAAAAAAGAAAACTTTGTTCTTTTCTACTTGACAATTAGGATTGGCATGAGAATTGCTCATCCCTCCCTGGTGCTATAGATTTTGTTGCCGTTAGAAATTAATAATAAGAGCATCCGTAACAAAATTGCTTATTCACCTCCGCAAAACACTTGTATAGGCGTGTAATCTATTGCTTCACTTATAGATCATGTTGTTCGCTATGCAATAGCCACATGAATTTTTTGAAAATGGGGCCTCGCAAATTTCATTTCGCACAAGTTAGTGTAAATTAACAATTTGCTCTCAAGTTACACTAAATTATCCTCAACTTATGCTAAATGATAATAATTAACTTATACCAAAACTTTAAATGATTTATACAAAATAATAACAAATCATATACACTGAACTGTACTTGATTTACCGCAAATCAGTCTATTGGTCCACTTATAGGTCATGTTGTGGGCTATGCAATAGCCCGAATAGCCACATGAATTTTCTTACATATTTTCTTATATATTTCTCGCCAGCACTTTTGAATCACCAGCAAATCAATGCAGGTGAAGAATTGGGAATCAACCTTTGAATTTCATTTTAATTTTTAATTTCAAGTAATTTTGTTTTATCATTAACTTGTTAAAGTACGAGGCATATCACCAATAATTCAATTGAGTCCCGTAATTAACATGATGGCTAGCTGAATCCTACATTCTCCACCGAAATATTGATAGAAATATTGATTTTTCTGTCCAAACATAAATTAGAGGTGAAACAAATGTTTAGGTGAGCTAAGAATGCTGCTCAACAAGCCCATTCCTGGATTGTGCATGAGAATTACTGCAGTACAATTTGTGACATTTAGCTTTACAATTTGACTGGAGACCAGTTCGGTATTTAAACTTGAAGGATTAAGATCTTAATATATTCAAACGCATTTGATAACAAAAAATAGAATATCTGAATTAATTAAGTGGTGCTGAATGTCCTAGGTAAAACTTGCTCCTAAAATAAGTGATAAACTATTCACTTATCACTTAAATAAAGTTGGACCTTCTTTGTTCTTTGTGGTAAGAGTAAAGATGATAGTTGAAAAGGAGACCAAAAAAAAAAAAATTAACACCATAAGAGAACTCGTAGTTTGCATATTGTAAGTCATTAAAAGCAATTAAATCACTCCATTTTCCCATTATTTTTTGGCAGACCAACTATGACCTTCTTGACCAATTTTTTCCTGTTCATTTGAATCCTTTTCTGATGAAGTAAAAACTAATTGAGCAGACCATCATCACCTACACATTTTCACAAAAAAAAAAGAAGAAATTTGCCCATTGCCTTAAATTTTTGCAAAAAAAAAAAAGAAAATAAATATCATGATTTCACTTAGGATTAACTTTTACAAACTGGCAGTATAGTGATTTTTTCACACTAGTACCTATGGACATATGTCACGTGTACATGATTTGTATATCAAATTTAAATTCATGTTATGTGACATTATCTAAATCTATGAGTATATAAAAAATTAAACACTAACAGTGTATCAACTTTAGGCTCTTTACTAGGCAAGTGTGCATTAGCAGCAGGCTGTGGACTATGTTTGGTGGATCGATCAATCTATCCATTGTAGCAGTCATCTAGCATTAATCTTGCAGCGCTGCCATGACTTGCATTCCTGAATTCCTCACTTGCATCCTTTCCTGCCAAAAAATCCCACCATTTCATGCACCCAAAAGGGAAAAAAAAAGAAGAAGGATTGTCGTTACCCGTGGTGATGATTAGGGTCACATTCATCCAACATTCACATAATTGAAAAGGTTCATATAATTTAGTGTGTGTTTCACCAATCTAATGACTCCTTAGATTATTTTTTTAAGATAAGGGGTTAGTGTGATCATCTGTTTACTATCCTTCATTTTATTAGCTTTGTAATTGTTTTACACAAATGATGGATACTAATTCCCTCTAATTATTGTAGTGTTGCAGAAGTTTTGCGTGATCCATGTTTCATTGATGTAAATTGAGGTCAAGTCAATGAAGTATCTCATGTTTTGGCCACTTTATCAAAACATTGACTCTATTGAATATTTTTGAAACTCTCCTCTTAAGTTTATTCAGCAAAATTGTGTGGATAATTTTCAATAAATTTAGTCATAAAATTTATATTGTTATCAGAAAAATTCCCTCCAATAGGCCATATATTTGGGAAAAGTGCTACTAGGTGATGGAAATCCTTGTATTTCCATTGCTGTGTTTTTTTTTTTTTTTTGTGCAAAACAAGGGAAGTAGGGACTTTTATTCAGCAAAATCGTGCTAGACAATTTTCAACAAATTTAGCGATAAAATTTTTATTGTTATAAAAAAATTCCCTCTAATGGGCCATATATTTGGGAAAAGTGTTACTAGGTGATGGAAATCATTGTATTATGTGCAAAATAAAGGGAGTCGGGACTTTTATTCAACAAAATCGTGCTGGACAATTTCCAATAACTTTAGCAATAAAACTTTTATTGTTATCAGAAAAATTCCCTCCAATAGGCCATATATTTGGGAAAAGTGCTACTAGGTGATGGAAATACTTGTATTTCCATTGTTTTTTTTCCTTTTTTTCGTGCAAAATAAGGGGAGTAGGAACTTTTATGTAGAAAAATCATGCTAGACAATTTTCAACAAATTTTGCAATAAAATTTTTGTTGTTATCAGAAAAGAGCCCCCTTCGGCCTTTATGAATGGGAGAAATTGAAGAGTTAGGCATCAATTCTTCCCCCCTTTTCAAGCAACAGGCGTCGCTAACCAGAACCACAAGGGCCAATCCAAGGCAATTCATTAAATCGGCAGAAGATTACCTGAATGCACTTTTTGGTGATCTTGAAGAGAAGCATAGAAACAAGTGCATTGAGAAGTATGTATGAGAGTTTTATTTCCTAACATCCATTATTTTTCTTCCTCTCATGAATTTCCAGCTTGTGGACAATTAGACACAGACATTTTCTTGATGAATATTAATTTTCTGCAGGTACAACTTCAACTTCGACTTCGACAAGGAAGAGCCGCTGCCTGGCTGTTATGAGTGGGGAGAAATTGAAGCCTTAGGCATCAATTCAAGTTCCATCAATACCCACCTGGCTACCTTGGAGTGTCTTTCGGTCTTTAATTTGGTCTAGGAAAAGTGTTACTAGGTGATGGAAATCCTTGTATTTCCATTGCCGTGTCTTTTATGTACAAAATAAACGGACTAGGGTAGTGAAGGACTTGTAGACTAATGATGTGTAACATGTTAGGAGAGATCTTGTGACTTATACAAATGTAGTTTTTATTGAATTGCACCAACTTGCGAGTGCAGGAGAAGTGTTATAAATGTGCACCAATTTGCACCAATTTGTGACTTATAAAATGTAGTGGTATTATTACTTAATCAGAGCATCAGTCTGCCAATAAGGCGTACATACGAAAGCTAGTAGAGGATACCTAAATGCATTTTCTATTTCAAACATTTGCAGTGAAGGTAATGTCTACCGGCTTATGCTCTGTTACATGCTCTGATTAAATAAAATTGTCACTTTTTGTTATGGAAAAAATTAACATAATTAATGAAGTCTAATTTTACTTCATACTCCACAGCATTTAGCTACAGTCATAGCAAACATTCATGTCGTTAATGTTTAGTTTCAATTGCCTAAGAAGATATAAACACCACATTTTTTAATATAGATGTTGAAATGTTGATGAAAGCCACTAATACAATCCATGAAATATTTTGATAAGTGTGCATTTTGAGTGTTTAAATTGTATTTTATCATTTAGTTTTGGTGTGTTTAAATTATTTTTATAACTAATTAACTAGGTTTCTTGTGAAGTTTACATTTTATGATTTAAGTGTAACAAAATTGCATTTCAATAGATTAAAGTGGAGAAAATTTAATGTTTTTAATGGTTTCAATGATTCAATCATCAAATGAAATGAATTGAGAAGATAATTAGATGAGTGTTGATGACTTGAAGTAAGTTAAAGAGAACATGAAGTTAATATGTTCATAAGAGGAAATGCAATCAAATATAAAAGAAACGGAGTTTGACAGTTTTGACACCTGTTGGTATTTCGGCTATTTCTTGAGTTACTAGTATTGGATTGAGGTGATTCTTGAACCATTTTGAAACTAACACATAGCTCTACAATTCTTATGAGACATAAAATCCAATTCATGGGTTTTCTAGTCAAAAAGCCAAAATACAATCGGCCATTTCTGTTGTCAAAAGTTGAAATAAAGTTTTGACTAATTAAGGGTATTTTGGTCATTTATCATTCTACAGGACTACAAATCAGGTGATTCTTGAAGCATTGGAAAGCTAACTCAAAGGGATACAACTTTCATGCTTTTAACAAAGCTAGTTCAGCCTCCATACTCAAGAAAATAGCAGTTGAAATTGGTGCAAAAATAGAGCAAAGTTGAAGATTGACCAGAAATGA